AGTAAGATATGTAGGAGACATTCAGAGCTGGCTCTCAAATTCACTACAGACCGGAACTATAATGGACCAATCAGGAAATGATTTTCCTTAGCATGGGAGAGAGAAGTGGAAATTAGCGATCTTCAACGTCGTTGGAGCTGACTAAAGCCGGGATATTGACACCGATATTACCGCGAACCTCTCAGTCCACTGTAGAATATAATATAACCTACCAGTTACTTAGATTGTACCGTTATAAGTATATTATACTTACATTTAGACCTTAGAGACGATTGCATAGTGTCCATGACAAAATTCGATGTGCCAGCGGTTTAGCCTTCGATCACTTGTCATTATTTATACTGATATGATAACGCTTCGTTGACTGCTACGGCGTTTCTGAGCAACGATTAGTTCTCAGTTGTGTAAAGACTGTTTCTGTGTTGTTCTCCTTGTGTTCAGAACTTAGAGCATTTTTCATTGTGTCACCCAACTTAGTTCAGTCTGTAGAATTTAGCTGAATGCGTATGGTTGTGATTCGCTAGTATTACGTGGCTGTGAGAGGTATTTCGTTTCACTTACAGAGTGATGATGACTGTGGCGATCGTGGAGATAACGACCATGTTTATGGTGAGGATGATGATTATCATGATTAAGATACCGATAACGGCAAAGATAGTACGATGAGGATAATGACAATGATGAGGGACACTGATGACGATAGTAGTGTCTATGATGATTATAATGAGCACGACAACGAAAGTCCAGATTATCAACATGATTGGATAATGGAAGATGAGGAAGAAGTTATTCTGATTACAGTCATATTAATGGTGGTGAAAAGACGCTGATGATGATACTTCATGCGATGATAGTAACAATAAGATCAGTCGCCGAGGTGATTGAAACGACTAATTGTCTGGATATTGATCGTGTTGCTTATCATGGAACCGGCACATCATGACTATGAAGAATATGGTGGTCATGATGGATCAGATAATCTTCATGATTATATTGTACCGATGGATATGATGATGAGGTATATGAAAACGGCTATGAAGATAATGAAGGCTGCATTGACGATGGTAGCCGATTAATGACAGTAATTATGATTAACACAGTGGTGATTGGGATTGTTAGAGTAAGTGACTTTGATGATGCTCAGAATTATTATCTTTGTAGTGACGAAATGGCAGTGATGATCGTGATATGACGATGTTATGATTGTGATGGTGTGGTCGTGGTGATGGCAGTGATATCGATTACGATAATCGTTGCAGCGATGATGATCGTTATGATAATGAGGATAGCCTTTTTCCAGGTGATAATGACCATGACTGACAGTGCCAGTGAGAAACTCGATGGTAATTTTGTTGACGATGTGTATGATGCTGACTATCGTGATAGCAGTCATTGTAATGATGAAGACAGTAGCAAAAGTGACGTTATTCCAACGATGAAATTTTTGATTGTTATGATACTGGCCGGTAATGAAGTTTCTTCTTATGGCAATGATCATTTTGATATTTACCTTAGTTACTTAGCTAAGACTAACTTTATTGATCTAATACTTTGCTTTATTCTAATACTTTATCTCCTTTGGTCTTGTTATATGATCTTTCCGAATTCAGCGGTTAGATTGCAGAACAAATCAACAAAGTTTAACAGTCTGTCAATGTTCGATCAGCTCTGATGTCAGTCCTTCTTAAATATTGCAGAAGTTGAATTTACCGTTTTACGCCGTTCTTTGCATCTCCATTGGTGCATGAAACAAAACGGTCACTTCGTGATTTACCAGGATCATGTGATCAGTGCTCAGATTGTGTGTTTGTCATGATCTGTAACATCCTTGCATACCTGCAGGTTGCTTAGAACTTGTGATGCCCGCTGATCTGCACTTATCGCATTTTGATTTTAGGAGCTGTTGATTGCATTGGCGAAAAATTATTCCTCATCGATAATAGACGCTCCGCCATTGAAGTGCTGACCACCGATCTTTCGTAGTTTATTTTTCGGTTTAAGCGTCAACAGCTGACGAACCAATGAATCTTTATCGCTTCGTTGCAAATCACTTCTGTTTTTCAGCACTATCGATATTTTGAGTGTGCCAAATCTCAGTCTTTTCCTGTGTGGTCAAACCACTTGATCTTCGAACCAAACCTGTGCGATTTTGGTTGCCCAGTCGATATTCTGCACTCTTGTGAATGCAGTCGGATCTAGTCCTTAAAACTTATCTAACATCAGCCAGTCAAGTCTGGAGCCGAATTGATATGGTGATGACGATAGTCGTGATTGCTGATTTGTACTTTGGCATTGACAAGCAGCTTTAAGAACGAGTTCGTTTTGCGTTTTTCGTTTCACCATGGCGATTGGCAGGTATACTAGCTATCTAATAGGTGCAGTTATGTTTGGTATACTAGGGAATGGGTTTTTGAGTGGTCTATGAAAAGATCTGTCTTTCGCTTTCCTTAGTCCCTCTAGAATTGTATGAAGATTCCAATAGGGCTCAAGACTATTCGACTCCTGTTATGCCTGAAAACTGTTATTTACTGTACTTTCCTCCAAATGTGCGATGTTCTTCATTTTGTGTTACAATAACCATGTGTTCTTGACGGCGCCTGACTGTCGCTGTCTTGTTGATATAAAGAGCAGCTACTTGTTTACCGTGACTCAGTCATAACGATTTTGTGGTTTGCGACAGAGACCGTTCAGTGGGTACGTGCAGCGATTTATTGGCGGTGTCGAATGCACAAGCATCTATTCGGTCGTTTGTTTTACTGTTTATATAGATCGTTCATTTGCTTGTTGCGTATGCATTAATTAATGACAAAAATTTATAGATAAAAATAATTAGTGCACTTTGTTTTCATTGTGCACTGCCGTAGTTCCAGTTTCAGATTATTGCTTTTATGCACTGACCAACAAATCGA